GGGCCGATTTGGGGCCGATTTGGGGCCGATTTGGGGCCGATTTGGGGCCGATTTGGGGCCGATTTGGGGCCGATTTGGGGCCGATTTGGGGCCGGCGAAAAAAGACGATATTTCAGATGCTTTCACTGAATTTTGTGCTCTCTGACCCTTTTTTGTATATATAAAATGCACAGACATCACAAATGTATTCACAGAGGAATCTGGATGAAGTTTTAAATTTTATTTTAAAATTTATTAACCACTCTTACAAAAGCAACTTTTTTTTTCTACGTGTGAATTTAACACTTTAAACATCAGTGTTGTAGTCGAGTACTTTCCGAGTACCAACATTCTGTGCAAAATACTGAAGTGGGTAAGAGGGAATAAAGCCAGAGTGCACAGGCATTTGATGGTAAATGTGCAGAGGTAAGATTACAAAATAAATGTTAGACTTCAGACACTCCCAGTTGTGTAAAATTTAAGTTTTTAAGAGAAAAGTACTGGAAAGTACTCAGCCGAGTACTTTCCGAGTACTTTTGTCCTAAAAAGTTAATTTTAATCAAACAGTGATGGTCTGAAGTCATTATGTTGCTTTGTAATCGTACCTTTATGCATGTACCATCAAATGCCGATGTACTTCAGCTTTGTTCCCTCCTAACTAGTTAAATATTTTGTAGAGAACTTGGTTCTAAAAAAGTACTCGACTACATCACTGTTAAACATACCGCGAAATCTGTCAATGGAATTTTTTTTGCATAAACAATGGATTTTGAACATACAGAAAACGGTTTTACCTGAATGCAATTTTTACCGACATGATGGAAAAGGTGTTATGATCTTGTCATGCCATCTTCTTTTTAAACAATCTACTACACTAAATAAGTTCAAAATGCTTTACAACATTACAACAAAAAAGTTACAAACCTTCAGTTACTAGGAAGGATTCGTCGGACCTAAACTTCAGAGGTGTTAAAATGTCACAAAACATGCCCCAACCTCAAAGAAACATCTTTTTCAACTTCGTTAAAATTTTGTTAAGCTTAATGGTGGAAACTGACTTGCTGCACCACTATTTCATTTAATTTGAAGCAAAATCATGAATGAATTTGTTTTTGTGGCAATTTCATCTCCTGAAGTTGATGGCACTAGTTAAAGGCAGAATTGTCTTTTTATGTCAGTGTACTTTCTTGTAGTCTTGTCCTTCCAACCAAGACTGCAAGATGCATGGGGAGGATAAGAAAAATATATTTTTGTTCAAATACTCTGCAAAGCAGGTGGTGCAATGTCAAGATTAAATTCTACAATTAAGCCCATCTAAGAATCTGTCCATCGAATGAGTGCAACACAAACATTTCACAACTTTCTACCAAGTTAACAATTACCTCCATTTCAGTTCAATTACATTGGGTTGTATTAATAAAAAGTAGCATTTGCTTTTACTACCATCTTTGCAGCATTTCCTTGTGTTTTGAACAATGATGAAGCAAATGCTTCTACTTTAGTGCAATTGCTAACAAGTAAAAGTATATACTTTTTACTCTTTAAGCTTGTGCTTGACAAACAGTTGCTTCATTTTGTGTGAATAAAAATGAGTAAGTTCTACAGAACTGGAGTATTTTTCAAGACTGGGTCACAGCAAGCTTGAAAAGGAGAAGCATTTACTAATGTTCAAAATGGCAGCATTTATAAATGTCATTTGAAAGGAAAAGCTGTTTGCCTTTAGGAGGGAATCTCAAGAAACCAGGTGTAGGCAGTTGCACCAATTTGAGAGGTTCAGAGCAAGTTTCCTAATTAAGGTTTTGCGATCAAAATTACTTCCATTGTGCTTATCTGCCATGCTGAGGTCTCAAGATACAACACTGAGCTGCAATGTGTGCATCTGTACATGCAGACAACGGAAGCCCTATTGAGCAAAACCATTCAGCTGTGCGGTCACTAGTAAATGCTGAATAGTAAAACATACATTTTATTCACATAAATTTAAGCATTTGCTTATTTCTTAATGGTTTTACTTTTCAGTAAATGCTTTTGCTGTTTTGTTTGAACTTCATAGCATTTGCTAGTTTTTATTCATACAACCCATTATTTCAAACTTCTGTGTAGGCAAATAACAGTCTTATATGAAA